CAAGGCTCGCAGGGTATACTACTGTCTCAACAGAAGTATCTCTCGGATATTCTAGATCGAGCTGAGCTAACTAACGATGCAACTATCGATACTCCACTCCAACAGAATGTCAAACTTCGCTCTACTGATGGTGAGCCTCTATCTGATCCTACCCGATTTCGATATCTTGTTGGCCAGTTGGTCTATCTGTGCATCTCTCGATCAGATATCTCTCATGATGTTGGCATTATCAGTCAATTTGTTAGTGCCCCACGTTCTATACACTATGCTATCTTATTATGGATTCTTCGGTATCTCCGGGGTACTAGCACTCGCTCTCTTCTGTTTCCTGCTACATCCAAATTAGAGCTTTGTGCATATTCTGATGTTGATTGGGCTGGTGATCCCACTACCAGGAAGTCTACCACAGGTTATTGTATATTTCTTGGTGATTCTCTAATTTTCTGGCGGAGTAAGAAACAAGATGTTGTTGCTCTTTCCAGAACCGAGGCAGAGTATCGTGCAATGTCAACAACAGCTAAAGAGATTATTCATCTTTGTCGTCTTCTCAGCGATTTTAGTATTTCTGTTACGACTTCTACTCCTCTCTACTGTGATAATAAGAGTGTCATCCAGAGTGCTAATAATCCAGTATTTCATGAGAGGACCAAACATATTGAGATTGACGCTCATTTTGTCCGTCAATAAGTTATCAAGGACAAGACAATTCTACTTTCTCATGTCTCATCCGCTGACGAGCTTACAGATTTCTTCACAAAGACCTTACCTGTTCATCGGTTCCAGTTTCTTGTACGCAAACTTATTTTGTTTGATCCAACAAGAGTTTGAGGGGGCAGTTGATAATAGTATATTGTAGTGGGTTTTAGTCTCACATTGGTTGTGAGAACACACACCACCCTCCTCTACTTGTATAAATATATGTGTACACTCAATATTCAACTCAAGAAAAATTTACCCAAAACTTTCTCTCTCTCTCTTACTTTAACACATCTTTTATGTACTAGTATTTGTTAAAGTAGAGAGGAGGTCATACTTAAATCTAGCTTGATTGCGGATTAGTTATGACCACTAGATTGAGCACGGAACGGATCCCTCACATAGGAGAACAATTTTGTACCAAATTTGGCGTTTGGCGGGTATTTTGATATTCTTAAACAAAAATTAATGTAAATATTGTTTCAGTGTGGACATTAAATTGTCGAAAGAAAACTTCAGGATTGCAAAGTTCAAAAAGGGGGAGACTTTGGGATACTAAAGTGGCAATAACCCTATTATAAATACGTGACTTGTTTACACTTACTAGGTCTTATGCACGTGCAATGCACGTGATTAAATACTATGATTAAGTATTTTTGATTTATTTTCTTACTAAAATTTGTTTCTTCGTTCCGCTTTGCTTGTTTTTGTTCACTTATGTCTTTAAACTGTGATTATTTATTTTCTTTAATGTTTGTTTGAATGGGCTACACCAAATTTAAAATTTTTACATTAATAATTGAATTGATAATAAATAAATGTAATCTAAAGCTAATTTGAATTTGCACGTTATTTAGATCGACATGAAACCAAGCTTGACTTGAGAAGGTATAATGTTGTAAAAGTAAAAAAACACTTGAAGAAATAGCGTCATAAAAGAATGATGAATAATTAAAACCAATAATTCAAGATGATTAATTAAAAGTGGACTACAATAAAACTAAAAAGAATATAAATTTTGTTGTTAATCATTAATAGACTTTTAAAAAAATTATAAAATAAAGATTAATACTAACTCTAGTACACTTTTATATGATAAAAGCATCCACATAACCATATAAAAATATTAAAAGAGTTCATGAAAATCTCTTCTAAAGGTTCATGATTTTTCTCAAAAAATTAAGCTATTCTATAAAATATTTAATAAATTAAATTTGTGTTGTATTTATAAAGAGCCTTGATGGAGATGCTTTTGTTTTAGTAGCTTGTTCTGAATAAACTCTACATATTAGTTTTGAAGTGTAATGTTTTTTCTTTATCGTGTTATATGGATGTTTGCTTGGTTTAATTATCATTCCCTTATTTATTCAATAAGTTGTATCTTTGGATTGATATATATTATTAACACAATTTATGATGACATACATATCTTTCCTACAAATTTGAGACAGATATAAGGTGAATTTTATATTTAGTGGTCTTTAATAAGAATTTTAGTTGTAAAATATGTTACATTCATATTTAAAGATCTTGAAATCTGACAGTACTATTACATGCTTATCTTTGATCGTGTCCCTAAAAATTGATCATCCGTTGGTAGTCATATCCCCAAATAAGGTTACTTGCAGAGTCGTGGTACTATATAGAAAAAAGAAAAATATCAATTTTAACTATTTTTTACTTACGCTATGGTAACTAGGTATCATGTGCATACTTTTTGTCAATTATAGTGATTTTCCTCATCTTATCTAGCTTATTATATCTCGCAATATAGTTGATCAATGACTTTACTTTAGTTTCTACTGCAATATTATTTATATATAATTTTATATTAAGTTTATAATTCCTTTAATATTTTAAGAATAAAGTATGAAAGTTTATAATATTTACTAATTTTTCTTGTATCTTTCATGAAGAATATTTTTTTTAATTAGGACAAAATTGTTTAATATGTTCTTCAAGGGGAACTCAGTCAGTGCTTCTTTGTCAGATTTTCTTTTTATCAATATCAATTCAGGTGATTCATGAATGTTTCCAAATTTTGAGTTTATTTCCTTCACTTCTCCATTTGAAATGAAAACAAGTTAGTTCTTTTAAATGATATCTCTGAACTTTCTGATAGTTTCTCCATACATATCTCATTGTATTTTTACCCTATAAATATTATCAACATTAGACATAAATCTTTATACATTATAATTAGTTAATGCTAACCTATTATATTATAGTATTTTATTAATTTTTCTTCTATCAATGGATGTTATTATTAAAATTATATGCAGTTCCTTAAATTTATACAGTAATGTTAAATTTTAATCTATCATATATTTTTAAATTCTTATTCCTAAACTGGATAGTTTTAATCTACGGTAATTGCTATTTTTTATTGGCATCAACTTAGACTACTTTTAGATGTTGAAAAGAAATGATAAATTTTAAATTGAAAGTTAAATTTATATAACTTAATGTTATAATATCAAACATTTCCTCTTTTCTTTGCTAAAATTTTAGCCTTTTTATGATTTTAAACTTTTGAGGGTGTGTTTTGTAATTTTTACACTTTGATAGTATTTTATGAAAACTTTTACTTATAAGTTGGGTGCTTATAATTCATATTTCATGTATTGGTGGTAAGTTTTCAAATATTAGAATATTTCTTGTAACTGTGAAAATTTGAAGGTATTTTTACAATTACTAAAATTTTGGGTTGTTTTTAAAAATTTAAATTTTCAATGTTCTACTAATAATTTCTAAATTTGATGGGTACAGGTTATAAGTTTTAAAAATTTAGGATTTTTTGTAATTTTTTATTTTTGAGAGAGTTTTTTTAATTTTTATAACTTTAAGGTTATTTTTTTACAAATTTTAAAATTTTAAGTGCTTAATGGTAATTCTTGGAATCCATCTATGTTGTTGCTAAGTTTTGAAATCACTAAAATTTAGGGTGCTTTTTATAATTTAAACTTTTGAGGTTGTTTCTGTAATTTCTAAAATGTTGAGGGTGTTAATTATAAATTTTAAATTTTTAGATTTCTTGTTTGTTTATAAATTTTAAAAAGTCAAGGTGGTTTGTGTAATTTTAAACTTTTAAGGATATTATATGCAATTTTTGAAACTTTTGGGTTTTTTGTAATACTTCATGTATTAAAATATGTTATCCACGTATAATTTTTTTATCTTATTTTTTCTAAATTGTTGAGTTATAGGTAGTTAATATGGAGTTAATATAAGATATAATTCGCATTTGGATAGATTAAGATTTAAAAAAAATATTTAAAATAACTTTTTTTAAATTGTTAAGCCATAGATATTTTACGTGGAATTAGATAAGATATGTTTAAAATTTAAAAAGTTTAAAATTTAAAACGATTAAGATTTAAATAAAATATCCAAAATAGTGAAGGGTAATATTGATCATGAAAAGTTTTTCATGAACTCGTGCTTTTAAAAGGAATATGATTAATATAAAATATAATTCTCATTTGGATAGATTAATATTTAAATAAAATATTTAAAATAACTTTTTTTTCAAATTGTTGAGCTATAGATAGTTTACGTAGAATTAGATAAGATATGATTAAAATTTAAAAAGATTAAGATTTAAATTAAATATCCAAAATAATGATCAGAGTAATATTAACCATGAAAAGTTTTTTCTAAACTCGTGCTTTTAAAATGAGTATGATGATATAATATGATATGATATGATATAATTTATAATCGTAAGAAAACAAATAGTTATAACTGGTATTGCAACTGAGGCCCCACCAACGAAGGCCACGACTAAGGGCATCTCCAACAGCTTCTCCAAAATTTTCTTCAAAATGGGGAAGCAAAAGTCATATTCTCCAAATTAATTTTAAACCAACTCCAACAGCTTCCCCATTTTGAAGAATCCATTTTTTCCTCTAAAAATTTGGAGAATACTGCAGATTTGGGGAAGCTTCCCTATTTTTTCTCCTTTATTTCTATTTTGGGGAATGAGATGAGGAATCTGTTGGACCAAAAAACTAACTAAATTTTCCAAAAATAGAAAATGGAGAAGCTGTTGAAGATGCTCATACTATCACAACTCACAAGTTAACGGCTGCCTCACTGGACTGCAACGGCCTCTGTCATCACCAACAATCAATATAGAAGAACACAGTTGAGGATATTAAATTACCTTACGGCAGCTCACATGCATGGTAGGAAATGAATTGAGTGTGAGCAAAGCAGTGCATCTTGCTCTTCCCAAGAAATGCATCAACCAAGAAAACAGCTCATAACTCATAAAAACCATTCCCCACAATCCACCACCTCCCTACTCTTTTTAATGCAACATTTATTCATCACAAGTCACCCACCCTCACAATCCACCAACCAAACCAAGTTTTGTCCAAATCAATAACAAGACAATAACAATGATAATAATAATAACAATAATACATCAAAACAGTGTTCAAATTATTAAACGGTCTTTTTTTATGTGTAGGTAGGAAGTCACATACATGTAAAAAGAATGAAAGTGTTTTGGTGGAGCTCAGAAGAAGATGGCTAAGGTGAGGAGGAGGCTGATGAGGGTTACAAGGGTGGAGGTGGCTCTGGCGGTGTTGCCGGAGGTGGAACCTGCTGGAGCTGCGATCGGAGTAGATCCTATAAAAGATATTAATTTCGCCATTAAAAATAAAAAGAAGTGACGAGGAGAAACGAAAACAGTATTTTCTACAGGAGTCATCAGCACCCATAAACTATAAGGGGTTAATTGTTTACTATTCCTTTTTTTTTTAGCGCTTGGATTATCAGAATATCTATCTACATTGATGCCACAAGACATGCACATAACGCATACAAAAACAGGGGAGATAACCCGTTTTGGTATTACTAGTCAAAATGCTAAAACATAAAATTTTAGGAGTAACAAGCGGCTTACTTACTCCTGTAATTAATTAACATGGTATGTTTATCTGCATAGCCCTTAAAAATATCGAGTTTATAATAATTGAAATATTATTGTTCTCACGCTGAAGTGAGATTTGTGGGGAGTGCGTGGTTGGTTGGAAAGTGGGCGAGTGTTGAGGACCAGAAAACGCAATAGGAGCTGACGATAACACAAAACTTTAATAGTGGAAAATTAGGAGAAGCACTTACCTGGTACCTCTGGACCTCCACTTGCTGGAGCTGCTGAAGGGCCCATCGGGCTTGCAACTGGAACTCCAACAGCTGCAAAGATGTTACACTTCCAAAATGTCAAGGCCAAATCACATTAACCATCCAAAATTGTGCAAAATTTTAAATCCCTGCTGAATGCAAAATTTCATGAAAATTAAGGGGCTTTGTAAAGTTTAACACAGGAAGATGTATCATGGTAAAATGCTCTTGTTCTACTAAGAGAGGTATAAATTCCAACAGTAAGAAATGGAGTCTGCAAATCCTCTCAAATTTTCTCAAATTAGAGAGGATTCTTTCTGAACAGAAAAGGAGGAACAAGCATTGCTCTGTATTATAAATTAGTTCAATTTAAACCGCAATCATTTCAAAAATTACCTAAAATGAGTCCAAGATAAGAATACAAACGTTTGCTTCCGATTCCCTACAACACAGGTAGCATGCTTACACTGACATACACCTATGTAACTAGAGAAAATATCGCTAGAGTATAACAATCTGTATGCGATCGGGCTGTTCTGATGCATATTATCCTTACTTACTATAAGTCTACCACATGTAAATTTGGGATAAGATGAAGTTATTTGTAAACATGACACTGGAGTAATCCTTGTTCAAATCTTGTAGGCCATGAATTGATCTTGCTGAGTTCAGGTTTTGGCCCATGCAAAAGAGCGCCCAATGCGCAGAGGTAATATGCTAACGCTTAATAAACATCAACAATTTCAGAGTTTTGTTTCAGTGGAAGCGTTACGATTTATTGTAAATGGAAAAAGTCAAAAAAAAAAAAGTGCAAATCAAGAGACCACCTTAGATCTGAAACGTAGGGAATTACAAATTTTGACTAACCTGAGCAAAGGCTGACGGGGGGAGTCTGGACCTTACAGGCTTTAGGCAACATGAGAGCCTTAGAAGTGTCGATCTTGACCCCGCCGGTCTCCGGCACTGTCAGGTTGCTTCCGGCCTCGACATACGTCAGGCACGACGACAGGTTCAGTAGAGCGTTCATGCAGTCCATACCGGGCATGGGCGCCCCTGCCGAGCCTGGAGACAACATCGGCCCCTCGGAGATGATGGAGGAGGATGGGGATGACGATGGTGCCATTGCTGGGCTCTGCGCTTGTGTTGTGGTGGTGATGGCAACAGTAATGGTTAGGAGTAGTGAGAGCATCTTGAAGGTGTTGGCCATGGCCAGTGCTGTTTTCTTTGCTGCTGCTTCTTTTTCCCCCCAAGTGATGGAGGTGTCTGGTTTTTATCTTTCCTCTTTTTAGGAGGAATGAGGACTGGGTTGGTATATATAGGAGAAAATATGTAGTGATCCAAGCTACGCTTCAAGCGTGCGTTGGAATATTTACACTTTGATACCAAACAGTACTTTTATTAATACTTTGAAATCCTAAAGTTTTAGTTACGGTTCAATTTGATACTCTCATCCAGATTTTGTTGGGCTGTTTGGATGGATGGGTAAAAGGGGAGAAAGCTGCCAAAAATATCAGCTTTTTGGCAGCTTTCCCCCAAAATCGCCTCTTATAGAGGCGATTTTGTGAGAAAGCTGCTAAATAAGAGGCGATTTTGGGGGAAAGCTGCTAAAAAACTAACATTTTTAGCAGTTTTCCCCCTTTTACTCATCCAAAAATCGGAACCAAACGGGATGTTCTGCTAAATTTGTATTACATTATAGTTCCATTTTACACAATTTCTAGGAACCAAAACAACTAAGTATTCCCAACAGTAGTGAACATGTTAAATTCGACAGAAATTCCGAGGAATTGTCGATGGGTTATCAAAATGAAATCTGATCTAAAATTCTTCTCAAAATGGGGCTAGGACCTAGCCCCATTTTGAAAATTGCTAAACATGCCCTTACAGCATTGAACAGTTCAAATATCCTTTGCGATATTGAAGAGAAAAAAGATAAACCATGGGGTGCCAAAATGAAAATAAGCCTAGAAATTATCTAGGTATCCTAATTGACTGTATTATTAATGCACCAGAGGTATGTCAATAGTTAGGTCAATACACAAGTTCCTAATTTTACTAATTGGAAATTATTATCTCTCTGATGCACTGTTAATCCAATTGATCCGAGTTTCTCTTACTAGAGATATGTCGACCAATGAATCAATACATAAATTCAAAAAGGAATGACGGACTTATCTAAAAATAGATTCAAACAAATGCAAAAGTTTTGAGGTTGGATGACATTTTCGAACTTTTCGGGATTATCTCATAATGCGGGCCAAATTTCTTGGGGTTCTTGGTTTTTTCGGAAATTTACCCAACATTTAAATAACAGGAGCACAGTGATCCGCATACACTGTGTAATTAATATAGCATGTGAATATTTTTGTTGATAAAATTAAGGGGAACTGAAAACCATATTGCATTTATTGCGTGCAAATTAAATTAACTGGTGGTGGTTAGGGTAGCTTCCAATTGTGGCATTTAATATGACGGTCCGAATTCGGCTATGAAATCTACCAATAACTATAAGAATATGTGGTGTTGTAATATTCACATTTCATTTTTTTTTCCTTACTTTTATCCTAAAAATGATTTACAAATAAAAATAACGATAAACTTTCTCTCTCCCATTTGCTTCCAATCTTAACAAGTTAGAGCATCTCCAACAGTTTCCCCAAAAAATTCTCCAAAATGGGGAAGCAAAAGTCATATCCTCCAAATTATTTTTGCTCCAACTCCAACAGCTTCCCCATTTTGAAGAATCCTGTATTTATTACAATAATAAAAATATTATACATCCCTATTTTGGGATGCTCTTATGCATTGGAACTTCCCCTATGGTTTTTCTTGTAATTACGGATTTTGTTTGATAGTTATTTTCTCCTCAAACCTGTTTTGAAGAACGTGCTGCATTTATGACAAAGCTCTCCCAAAATATTTGAAGAACGCCCCAAATTTGGGGAAGACTCCCCTTTTTTTCTCCTTCATCCCTATTTTGGGGAATGAGATGGGGAATCTGTTGGACCAAAAAAAAGCTCAAAATTCTCCTAAAATGAGAATACCAATAAAATGGTGAAGCTGTTGGTGATGCTCTTATATTCAATTACTTTGGGAGATATTTATACAAGACAAACATGTGAATTACATAAAGGTAAAGTTCATTTTATTCACATGAAAAATTTCCCTTTATGTCCCAACTTGTAATGTAAAATTTTTAGAAACTCATCAATGTGTGGGAAACTTGACATAATAGTTACGAAGTTGGATTCTCTTTCTTTTGTCTAGCTTGAAAGTCTAGACCATCCTCTGACTTTGCACGACACACCTTCTGCCACCTAATTAGGTGGCAAAAGGTATGTCGTGCAAAGTCAGAGGGTGGTCTAGGCTTTAGAGATATACATATATTTAATCAGGCATTGGTGGCTAAGCAGGCAAGGAGAATCATTCAGGACCTTCTTCTCTGGCTAGTAGGGTTTTGAAGGGGAAGTATTTCAGAGACTCGGACTTCCTTTCAGCTGGTGTCGGCCCTGGCTGCTCTTATTTATGGCGGAGCATTATCTGGGGGGGAGAGCTCCTGGCTCGAGGTCTGAGATGGATGATAGGTGATGGCCAGAGTATCTCTATCAGTGCTGACCCATGGATCCCAAAGCCCTTTTCTTTCAGGTCAATCACTTCTCCGATCGACTCTTCCAAAAGGGTGGCTGAGTTGATCTCTGCTTCGGGTACTTTGAATCATGAGCTAATTGCTACCTCCTTTAGGCAGGTAGACCGGGAGGACATTTTATTTATCCCACTGCCGCCTTCTTCTGTCCCTGACAGACTCATTTGGCATTATGAGGAGAAGGGGTGCTACACGGTCAAGAGTGGATACCGACTTATTCGCCACACTATGCCTGATATTGCTTCCACCTCGGATTCTAGGGCAGCGAAGTGGTGGTCCTTGATCTGGCATGCGGAGATCCCACCGAAGATTAGAGTGTTCCTTTGGCATCTGTTTTATGATGCTCTCCTCACCTCAGCTGGTTTATCTCGTAGGGGGATCTCTGTGCCCCCTAGTTGCCACCTTTGCTCTGCTGCCTTTGAGACTGCCCTTCATATCTTCACCGTCTGCTCCTTTGCTCACTTAGTGTGAGGGTCCTTAGATATTTGGAAAGTGATTGATGGTTTTCGAGGCACGTCTTGTGGTGATTTTCTTTTCCATCTCACCTCTGTTTACCCTGGGGACTCTCTGGCTTTGGCTTTCACAACCATGTGATTTGTATAGGGGGAAAGGAATATGCGCTCTCGTGATGGTGGTGTTAGAGAGGCCTCGGTCTTGGTGACTCGAATTCTTTGTTTTGTGGAGGAAGGGGATAGAGTTAGAGGTCTCTCCCACGACATTGTCACCCTTCCAAATGGCCTTTTGCTTTGTATCCCTCTGCTCCTGTTTGCTGAAGCTTAACACAGATGTTGTTGTTCCTCTGAAAGGAGATATTATTGGTTTGGGAGGTGTTATTCGGGATCGCCATGGACATGTGATCGGTTGCTACTCTATGGGGATCAGGGGTCCTATGTTTGTGGATCATGCAGAGCTGTTGGCTGTCCTGGAAGGCATTCGCTTTATTTAGCGTATAAACTGGAGGATTTCAGTGGTAGAAATTGACTCTCTAAAGGTTGTCTCCTTGGTGGACTCTCCTTCTCCTTTTGCTTCCTTGACTCCTATTGCAGATGAAGTTCGCGCTGGTCTGATTATCACTGGTTGCACTAAAGTTTCTTATGTAAGTCGTACCGGTAATGGTGTTGCTCATTTCTGTTGCTCATTCCCTAGCTAAGTTGGTTGAATGTTTGTCCTCTTGTTTTTGGTTTGTTTCTACCCTTTTGTTTTTGAGACAAATTATTGTTAAGGACTTAGCTAGTTAGATTACCCTACCTGTCTTTTCAAAAAAAAATGTAGCATAACAAGTTCAAAAGGCATTAATTATGCCAGTTCATGAAAGGAATGAGAGAGAGCTTTTATAGTTTCTTTTCTTAACTATTTAGGTCATTTTTCATAGGAAGTGTTCATATGTATAAATTGAGTGGCTACAAACAGTTTACATTTCTAGTCTAATGCTCTCTTCCCACGTTCATTTGAAGAAACTGAGTTGATTAAGACCAAAATCAAAGGAAATATTTATAGCTTAACAAAGAAATCTTATAAGGTGGAAGAAAAACTTGACACTAATACTAAACATATATATTAAAGTTGATGATTAGTAAATAGGGTGCTAAAAAATATATCTATATGCGGATGTATCGATATCATCATCCATTAGGTTATAATTGTGGATGCAAAATATCTACATCTGATAGGATAGATATATGTAGTTCAAATGTCTGGATTCATACACGCGATATCCAAATATACATCAATGTGCCGTCATAATTGTTTTGACCATTAGATTAATGGCATTGAGACTAATTTTGATGATCGAGAGATCCAATCTTAGCTTTATGGAACATATTAGTGGTCTATCTTGTATCATTTGACCTGTATATCTTACAAAATTTATTTATTTTTCTCATATTCATTTTGTATTTGTTTATATTTTCATTTAATTATTCGCATTTGTATTTTATTTTAGTAGATATGGATATATGTTTTCTTTACCATTCATACTTAAGGCCAAACCAACCATGGTTAACAAATTAGAGGAATTTTATAACAGATAGACTAAATTCGGATAATCTATATCATTTGGGGGGACCTAATAACAATTTAATAATTTGAGGAACTATCCTCAAAATATGAAAAATGTGAGGGAATAATGTCAAGATAGCCCTAAGGCCACATTTATTTTTTATCCCGGGGCTAGGGGTATAAGGTATTGTATTCTCTAGACTATAGTACTAGGATTATATTATCCTAGAACTATTTTAGTCCAATCCAATGTTTGTTTTCACATATACTAATACTAGTGTGTACCCCGTGCAAAGCACAACCCCCTTTTTTAGGCATTGTATTTTGAATCTGCTTCCCTCTAAGCTTAATACATTTGTTTTAATTATTGTATACTTAAAATTAGGAACCAAATCTACTGCTTTATACTTAAAAGGGTACTGTTCATGATATAGTAATACTTAAAGGACTGTTCATGCTATAGTAATTTACTGTAGTATTTACAATAGCATGAAGAGTAAATCATTGGTTGAACTGTAAGTCTTTGGATCTACCTTTAAGTAAAGAGGATGTAGATTCATACTAACTTAAAATAGTCTATTCTAGCGTTTATTTTTAGGGAGATTATGACCATTAATTCCAACTAATATCATGACTAAAATAACATTTTGCCCTTAAATCAACTGA